ATTTAAATGCCGCGGGGGATATTTAAATCCCCCGCGGATTTCCCTACGACGACTAGTGAAATTTACATGCCCCTTCCGGAAGAGGGGCCAGTGTAGATGTAGCCATAACGTTGTGGATATAATCAGTTCGCATTGGGCATTTTGCATATCTTCTGTTTTTCTTCTTTACAGCCATGATCCAAAGCCCAAGGAAGTCAACAGGAGTCTTCTCATTGACTTCATTGGACTTTGGATCAAGTGCTACATGATTATTATTTATTATTTGTATTACTGTCGAACAGGAATGGGCAAGATGCAAGATCTGGCCCATCCTTACACTTTGATCTGGACCTCAGACTGCATCTGACCACTTTCTATTTATATCCTACTGCCCATGCTACTGAATTTCCAGGAGGTGGCTCAGGCAGCAGGATCCTATTGAAATGGCTCCCAGTTCCCAGTCGTAGTGTGATCTCAGCAGAAGCTGGAGCCATGAGCCTTTTAACTAGCTGCAGCAACCCCAGGAAGCTGCCGGGAAACTTGGTAATAGCGGAGTCAGGAGCTGGGAGCCCTTTGCTATGTTTTTAATTCAAAGCTTCCAGCCCCAGATAAGTCTGGGGGGAGGCTACTCTCCTACCCCGCACCTTCTGCCCAGCCCCTTCCAGGAGTGGAACCAGCTCCTAACCACATACCAAAAGTCATTAAGTGGCTCACCTGTGAAAATTAATGGCCACCCGCTGTAGAATCTCAAAGCTCCAATTATAGCTTAGGTTGTCATTGTGTTAGGGACTGGACAAACACAGAACTAAAAACAGTTCCTCCTCCCCACCCCAATGTACCATCTAAGATAAGATAGAAAAAGTCCCCCAAACAAAGTTCTGGATAACTGTTTGGAAATTTATGAACATGGATGGCATAGAAAAATACAGTAGGGTACATTTACACTAGCTCGTTAGTTAGAGTTAGGTAGGGTAATTAGGGCAAGCGGAGTTGCAAATGAAGCCTGGGATTTAAATATCTCGGGCTTCATTTGCATGTTCCCGGGCGCCACCATTTTTAAATCCCCCTTAGTCCGAACTCCTTGCCCGCGGCTACACGCGGCACGGAGTAGGTAGTTCAAATTAAAGATCCTAATTTGAACTACCGTTACTCCTCATTCCAAGAGGAGTAACGGTAGTTACTACTATCTTTAATTCGAACTACCTACTCCGTGCCACGTGTAGCCGTAGGCAAGGAGTTCGGACTAAGGGGGATTTAAAAATGGCGGCGCCCGGGAACATGCAAATGAAGCCCGGGATATTTAAATCCCATGCTTCATTTGCAACTCTGCTTGCCCTAATTACCCTACCTAGCTCTAACTAATGAGCTAGTGTAGACGTACCCGTACAGGATAAGCAGAGTAGCTAGTACTTTGCAAAAGTTATTAGTTCTCAAGGGTTTCTTCTGTATAAGCAGTCACAACTTATGAATTATAAAAAATACACCATATACGCACACTGCGCTCAAGAAGTCAAATACAGAAAGACTTTAGGAATTAGAGGGAGGAACTCGAAGACAAGACATCTGAAAGATTAAATTAGTACAGTAGCCAATCGATTCTTTTCTCTTAATCTCTGTCTGCACTAAGAAGAGAACTGTGCTACCTACCTCCATGTGTAATCCTAGGGCTTGTCTACATCCATGGCACTGCAATGGAGCAGGAAATGTAGAGAGCTCTAAAGTGTTGAGATCTGATAGCCCCACACAGGGCCAACTGGCATGAACTAAGTGGTACTTAGTTTGCACAGATGTAGTCCTATCCCAAACCAGGGATGCAAGCAAGTAGTCGAGTTGAGTATCAGAGGCAGCAGGGATGGGGACAGGAGCTGGTGCTGGGAGGAGCCAGCTTAAAATCTGGTTCCCCCCTGCACCATTTCAGCCATGTTACCTCCCCTTCCTCCTCCCCCCCCCACGGAGTGTGGGGGCTAAGGGAGGCTGCTGCGAAGCAGCCTCTGCCCACAGCCAGTCCAGGCTGCTATGAACAGGGGCTGCTGGATCCGGTGTGAGCCGAGATCGTACCAGTCTGGGACCACTGCGTTTCTGCATTTTAAATGTAGTAAGAGCTGAGCGGCTTTCACTATATTTAAAATGCAGAGACACAGTGGTCCCAACTCTGTCCTGGCTCGTGCTGGTCCAGGATCTACCCCCAGTGCGGCGCTGCCATTTAAATGTAGTAACAGCCAGGCTGGCTATGCACCCAGCTCTCACAATCTTTAAACTGCAGAGCCGCAGTGCAGGTAGCTCCTGGTCCAGCGCGAACCGGGACTGAGTGCCTCCCCTTATCGACTAATCATGTAGTTGATCCAAATTGTATTGACTACACAATTAGTCAATTACCCGACTCTTAACATCCCTACCCCAAACAGGACCACATTTACATGCACTGTGTACCTTTTCATTCACACCAGAAGGATCCACATGAGGAAATTAGAGAAGAGCACATTAGACCTCTCTACATTTCAGACCCCACAGTGCCATGTAACAAGCCCACAGTTGTTCCTATCAGTATTCTAGCAATGTCTGCTCGATCAGCACGAAGAGACTTGTTTTCTTTGAGAACCCTGTATTATAGGGTTCTCAAATGCCTCTAATGACATTTTCTGTCCCCTAATACCAAAGTACTCCCAGTATAACATAGACGGCGCACTGGCAGCTGCCAGCATTTCTAGCATCATGGTGTCTAGTTCCACTCAAAGATTTTAAAAAAATCCATCTGGGAAATCTGTCCTCCTAGGCAACTTTGCCAGCTCAACAATCCAGAGTTTGCACTAGCTATAGATCCACGCAGATGTATTCGTGGAGCTAAGTCTGGACTTTCATCATCTCCTATTTTACAATCTTAAAATCTAATTATTAGTGATACAATGTGGTTTGATGCTCACTTGTCCTAATCTGCCATTTCTGTTTCCAGCATACTGGTTTATGCAAAGGCTCTGTAGTGAAAAGCCAAGTTGATCATCATCAGTTTGTCAGCATAGCCTGTGAAATCTACGATCCACAGGTATTTCTCCATCTACTCACAAGTTTACAAAAAGGTCCTTCATAACATAACATTGGAATGAAGAAAGTTTGATAATTCCGTTAGGATTAGCCACAAAGAAATGGACTGCAGACACAAGGGAAATGGATAGGCCGAATCAGAAACTAACACACTTGAAATGAGATCATTGCCAAATGTCGAAAAAAGGCAATTCAATACAATTTCAGAGGAGCCACCACCCAAGGTCCTCAGAAGGCTTATGCAGTCCATGTGCCCAGGGCATCACTGCTATTGTTATATGAGCTAGCTAGATCAAAGGCAGCTGAAATATGTCTACCTGGGCAGCAGTCGCACGACAGATTGTAGTGCAGACATAGTCATTAAAACCAACTGTATCGTAGAATCATAGGTCTGGAAGAGACCGTAGGAGGTCATTGAGTCCAAAACCCTGCAAAAAGCAAGACCAATCCTAACTAAATCATTCTAGCCAGGGCTTTGTCAAGCTGGGACTTAAAAATCTCTAGTGATGGAAGTTCCACCACTTCTCCAGGTAACCCATTCCAGTGCTTCTCCACTCTCCTAGTGAAACAGTTTTGCTAATATCCAACCCAGACCTCCCCACTGCAACTTGGGACCATTGCTCCTTGTTCTGTCACCTGTCACCATTGGAAACAGCCTTCAGGTAATCGAAGGCTGCTATCAAATCCCCCATCACTCTTCTCCTCTGTAGACGAAACATGATGAGCTCAGGAGTGGCTCATCCCAAGCTAGTGCAAACTCCATCCTGATGAGCTCAGGACTGGCTCATCCCAAGCTAGTGCAAACTCCATCCCAGAGCCAGGCCCTTCCAGGGACCTCCTGAACCCACTAGACCAGCCCCCAGCAGCCAGCAGGCATGTCGGGCAAGCCAGGCTGCCTGTCCCCAGGCCACATGCAGCAGGGTATGTCCGAGTATCCCAAACACTTTACAAAGCTTTTGAAAATAATAGTTACAGAACCAATGTAACACTCATAATAACAATATAGGGAGAGATTAATGAAATAGCTGAATTACCCTGCTTCCAAGAAAGGGTACTCTCCTTTGGGAGCAGCAGCTATTTTACTTCTCTACCATTGGAGATTCCATTGGTGCAGCTAGATCAGTGGACTGCTGGAATTTGGATTGATCCTGAGCCTTTCCTTATATCAGAACAAGGTTTTTAAGTAGCTTTAATTAATATAGGCATGTGTTTGCTGTTTGTCAATTTAGGCTCCTGGAGAACAGGAGAAGCACACTGGCCATAGATCTCAAAAACCCAATCAAGATGATGATGAAAGCCATGAACATCCTCACCAACATGGAAAGAAGGGGAACCAGAACTCGCACAAACACCCTCACGATCATCACCACCACCACCACAGCCGCCACCAGCACAAGCAAAACCAGCCTTCCCCCTCTGAACCTAATCACTTCTCCCCACGTCTGGGCAAAACAGTGGGCTGGGTTAAAGTTCTCCCTGCTAAAGAGGAGCACGTGTCTCTCCACACCTTACCAGAGCCTGAGGCTGAACATATCGATGGAAAGCCTGTTCCCCCACAGAAGGCAAAGCCAGTGCCAGCCCATCCAGAAACACATGATGGCACTGATGCAAAAAAGCTTCTGGTAGCCAGGCCAGAAGAAAAGCCAGGTTTGACCAAGCCTGCAATTGGCCCAGCCATTCTCCCTTTCCCTGAAGGGCACTCGCAGTCAGATGCGTGCCCAGGAGAGCCCACGTTTGTTAACTCACTCATCCTCCGTTTGCTTTCCAAACCCCCTGTCAAAACGTTACCAGAGATACCGCGACAAACTGCAACGGAATAAAGTTCATGTTTCCCATTGCCATGTAAGAACTTTCAATAAATAACATTTTCTTTCCAGTTATGGTCTCTGGTGTTGGGGGGTCAGGGAGGTAAAGTGATCTCAGGGACTGGCCATGGAAAGGAATTTTATTAGGCATTTTCCAGCAAGAGAAGTTTGGGTCAAA